AATGAATACAAGAAACATTTCTATGTCTCTCGTTCTCTTCTTTCCATTATTTCACTGTGATATCTGCCGCTTCAAAGCATTGCAGGTTAACATGGCATCAGAGCCATTTCATGAAGACTAGCATTTTTTTTCTCACTTCTTCTTCCTTTCTCTCTACTCCGACCCTGCGCATCCATGGCTGGGTCAGTCACTTCCTCTCCCGCGGTCGACCCTAATGCTTCTCTCTTTTCGACTACCATTCCTCCTCAAATCAAGTTCTTGATGAGTAATATCAAGAATCTTGTCCCCAACTCTCTAGCTGCGGAAAACTACTTGCTATGGTAGTTACAAGTGGAAAAGTTTTTCACTGCCAATGGCTTCAAAGGATTTCTTGACGACACATCTGGTGTCCTTCGCCTCAAGCTGCTTCAGATGATTCGTTCGCCTCAACTACCCAGTCTCTGCACGACATCTGGACTCCTACCGATCAAAATCTAGCTGCTGCGCTATACTTTGTAATTTCACCATCTATCCAACCCTATGTTCTCACATTAACGCATTGTCATGACATATGAATGACTCTTGCGCATCGTCTTCAAGCCACGACGAGGTTCCGAATCATTCAGTTAAAGAACGAGTTGCATCACTTGTTAAATGGCGACAAAACCATGATACAATATCTTCTTGATAAAAAAACAGAAGTTGATTCTATTCAGGCAACCGACAACACCATTGATCCCGAAGATGTGATCTTGTACACGCTAAATGGTCTTCCATCCTTTTATCAATCGTTAAAAACGGCGATCCGCATGAACCTCCAGCCATTAAAATTTACCGATCTTTACAGTCTTTTTATATAGTGAAGAACAGATTCTAACCCACGAAGCAACGAAAGATATTCAATCATTGCATCTAATGGACAACTCCATCACACTCGCAGCGCCACATGGCTGGTGACGAGGAAGATACAATTCATCTCGTAGAAATAGAGGTCGTCGCTCCTTTCCGCCTACTGGACGCGGCGACAAAAATCCTCAGCATAACACCATATGCCAGATTTGCAACAAAATCGAACACTCTGCCCTTCGCTGCTGGTATCGAACCGATCCAACATATTCAGACACTCCATCCAATTCGACACTATTTTCCGCACCATATACTACCATCCATGCTGACTGGTTTTTTGATAGTGATGCTTCATCACATCTTACAGCAGATCCATCTTAGCTGAGCGCGACGGAGCAATATACAAGTTCTTCTCAAGTCGTTCTTGGCAATGGTCAGCAACTTCCAATTCAAAATACAGGTAAAGGAATACTGCCAACACCCACAGGTAATCTCTATCTTCACAAACTTCATCATGTTCCAAATCTTTCTTTCAATCTTGTTTCTATTCATCAGCTAACCAAATATAATAATTGTGTTGTATCTTTTTCATCTCATGGCTATCAAACCAATGTTTCGAAGAGTCGTCGCCTTCTTCTTCAAGGGCCTTGCCATTACGGTATATATAAGGTTTTCCGTTAACATCCACAACCTCGCATCTCGCTCTGCTTTCAGCTAAAACTATTCCTAACCATGGCACAACCGTCTCGAGCCTCCTACCATTAACGTATTACAACATTTAGCTCATTCTAATTCAAATATATGTACGTACCTCTCTAAATACTAATTGTAATACTTGTTGTCTTGCCAAGAGCTGACATTTAGCTTTTTTGTAATCTAATTATCATACTAATGTACCATTTCAACTTGTGCACTCTGATGTTTGGGGTCCTTCCCCGTTGCCCTCTATACAAGGCTATCGATACTTCGTTTCGTTTATTGATGATGACACTAAATATCGTTGGATCTTTCCCATTTTTCAGAAATCTGATGTTACGAATATTTTCATAAACTTTCATAAATATATCAAATGACAATTCAATACCACTCTCCAAACCATTCGTACAGATGGTGGAGGCGAGTATATAAATAATACCTTCAATGCTTACTGCAAACATTGGAGCATTCAACATCAATTCACCTGCTCGTATACCCCCGCTCAAAACGGTGTGGCAGAACAAAAAAATCGTCACATTCTTGAAATTGTCCGGAGCCTTCTCATTCACTCCAATGCCCCTTCTCATCAATGGGTAGAAGCACTACATACGACTATCTATTTAATCAATCGCCTTCCCATACCTATCCTTCACAACAACACACCATTTTAACAATCATACATCAAAACACCAATCTACGCACATATAAAAACCTACGGATGTCTCTGCTACCCATGGTTGCGATCTTATGCCAAGTCAAAATTATCCCCTCTCTCGGTGTCATGTGTATTCATTGGATATGCTCAATTCCAAAAAGGATATCGTTGCTTGGACACTATCACAAATCACGTCTGTCTCTCAGCACGTTGGCTTCAATGAAAAAATTCTCCCATTCAAACAATCCCACTCGGTTTCCAATCAATATGCCTCGTCTCCTAACCTCTTAAGATTCTTCCACTACTGATATTGCTCACATCGCTAACTCCAAATCTTTAAAAATCCCATTCTCCAACCCATATCCTCACCTTCAAGCTTATCATCAAATCAGCCACCACCTACTCTAACTCCTCTAGTCATCCCACATGTAATTCTGACGCACCCAATGAAAACTCGCCTTCAAACTGGCAATCTTAAGCCAAAACATATATTTGATCTCTCATCATATTCTTGATACCGACCCAACCACTTACACATAAGCTGCCAAACATGCACATTGGCATTCCTCTATGTCTCAAGAGTTCCAAGCTCTACAATCACAAGGCACATGGGAACTTGTGCCTTCTTTACCTACCCAAAACACTCTTGGTTACAATGGATGTTCAAAACTAAATATAACTCTGATGGAACCGTCGTTCATTACAAAGCTCAACTAGTTGCATTAGGTTGTAATCAAGAATTTGGTTTAGACTACACAAAAACATTTATTAATGTAGCCAAAATACCTACTATTCATATTTTATTAGTCACAGCATTATATCATAATTGGCAAATACGCCAATTAGACATATCAAATGCTTTTTTACATGGGTCTCTCTCAGACATGGTCTACATGAAACAACCTACGGGGTTCGTTGATAAAAATTACCCCACACACATATGCAAGTTGAATAAGGTCATATATGGTCTTAAACAAGCACCACGAAAGTGGTTTGAAACTTTAACAAGATTTCTTCATGGATTGGACTTCGTCGTCACTAGTCATTCGGGTCCATTGCTACTTATCTAACATAAAAATGGTATTATCTTGTACTTTTTTATTTACGTTGACGACATCATACAACCATACAACAACACTCAATCCATTACTACTCTTCTTAATCGCTTGCATCAGTGATTCAACATGCGAAACTTATATAATTTGACACATTTTATTGGTATTACAACTGAATATACAACAACTGGTCTAATCCTACATCAATCATGATATGCTGAACGAATTTTGATGCGTGCCGGAATGCTAAACAGCAGACCAGTTTCAACTACCACGACAACAAAGACCACTTTATCAATTGACTCTCCGACGTTCACCAATCCAAAGCTATATCGACAACTCGTGGGAGCCTTCAATACCTAGCCCTCATAAGACCAGACGTCACATATGCCGTCAACAAGACTTGTCAGCATATGCATCAACCAACAGTGTCAAATTTTGAATCTCTAAAACAAATTCTATGCTATCTTCGAGGATCTCTATATCTCGCTCTACCAATTACTCCTGGATCTCTCACACTTCACACAAACACTGACTCTAACTGGGTTTGTGATCATCAAGATCATAAATCAACCACAGGATATTGCAATTTCCTAGGTTCTACTCTAATGTCGTGGTGTGCAAAGAAACAATCCACAATAGCTCGATCATCTACTGAAACCGAATATAGAGCAATAGCCACGACGATGACAAAAATTATATGGCTTCGTCAACTACTTCAAGAATTGGACTGTCCTCAACAAGAGCCCAAAGCATTATATTGTGACAACATTTTTGTAATTGCTCTGGTCAATAACCTGATTTATTAGGTTCGAACCAAACACATCAAGATTGATTGTCACTTTATTCGGAAACACATTAAAAACATTTCAATACATTACATATCTTCAAAAGATCAAATAGCTGACTTATTTCCTAAATCCTTATCCATATCTCATTTCAAATATATGGCTAACAAACTCATTGTCACAATTGTGACATCAATTTGTCACGATATGTTAACAGATAAGCATAAGGAAACAAATACTTAGTATGAAATCTTCATTTTCGATTAAAGATATGAAACTCTATTATATACATATATGTACCTTAGGGACATT